GCGCCTCGCCGCCCTTCTTCTGCTGCTGCCCGCGCTGGCGGCGTCCGTGACGACGGACCGGGCGATCCCGGGGACGTCTGCGAACCAGGAGTACTTTGCGCGGACGCAGGCGCTGTTTGCGTTCGGCAACCGCACGGAGTCGTCGTGCGGGCCGGAGGTGGCCTCGATCGAGACGTGCATCCGCTCGTGCAACCGCCCCGGCCTGCAGGAGCGGTCGGGGTGCTGCTGCGTGGCCACGCCGGAGCGGAGCTTCTTCGTCGGCCTGCGCGGCGGCTGCCGCTACCGCCAGCAGCTGCTCAACTTCACCTCCCGTCTCATCTACGAGTCCAAGCCCGTCGACCAGCGGAGGCGCTACTTCGACCCCATCTCGTGCGCCCCGGTCGCTGAGGCGGGCGATGACGCGGGCAGCTGCACCTGCTCCATCCAGTGGGAGGCGGCCACTGATGAGCTCGATCTCGTTCAGCCGCTCGCTTCGCCGACACCGTCCACCACTCCGGGCCTGTCGCCGTCGCCTAGGCCCTCCAGCGTCCCGCCGACACCGAGCCCCGTGAGCCCGACCCGCACCCCGTCGCCGGAGCCCGCGCCCACCGTCATTGATATCCCCACCGTGGCCACGTCGTCGCCGTCCTCGGTGGACGTTGAGCCCACGCCCGCCGTAGAAGACAAGCCCGCGGAGACGGACATGGAGGACGGCTCAGGCTCAGGCCCAGTTCCAGTTCCAGTGCGGCCCCGCCCGCCCCGCCCTTCCCCAGGATCTGGATCTGGTGACGGATCTGGTGACGGAGTGCAGGAGACGGAAGAGCCCGGCGAGGGCGAGGTAGACGCGGAATCCACGCCCGACATGACCGACGACGAAGGCATGCCACTGCTCGACGCAAGCGGCGAGCCCGTGCTGGACGGGAGCGGCGAGCCGATCATCGTCGGCGACGATGGGGATGGGTCGGCCACCGACGACGCCGTGGCGTCGGCCGAGGCGTCCGTCACGCCCGAGGATGACGGCACCGTGTGCGTCGACGAGGAGCATTTGTTGGCGGCTGGATACGACCGCAGGCACATGGTGCACGCGCGCGGCGTGATGCAGCGCGTGCTGTGCCCCGCGGTGGGCGGCCTTCCGTGCGGTACCGCCGACCACAAGGTGCGGCGAATGGGCAAGAATGTGAGCTACAAGCAGCTGTGTGAGAGCGTGCGGTGTTCTCACGACGTCAAGGTGGTCAACTCGGTCTACTCGCATCTTTGGACTGAGACGACGCACGAGGAGGTGACGCTGACTATGTTTGACGCGAGGTACCCCGAGCGCGCGCAGAAGGCGCTTCACTCTGTGATGCATCTCGCGCGCCGCGCCGTAGAGCGCTTCTAGGCCAGTGCCCGCTTGTTGACGAGTGTTTCGGTGTGCGTCGGGCGGGCGATTATTTTGTCGTATCGCCGCCCGTGTTAGTGGCTGCCACGCTTAGGTTTTGCCGACCGTCGCGTCGATCGTGGTGCTATTCTCCCTCTCCCTTATTTCCTATCCCTTTTCGGGCTTGTTTGTAAATTTGTGCTTTGCTCCATGTCTGCTCCTTGCCTGTATGCAGCGCAGCGAATGAAGCTCGCGTGGGCGGTTCAGGGGGGGGGGGGGGGGAGAGTTTGTGGATGGGCGGAGATAGTTTGAGGCGGGATGACCGAGAGTGGTGGAGAGAAATTATTAAATTATTGAGACTTTTTGTGCATATTTGCCGCCGCATCACGCAGCCGCTTTGGAGATCAAACCGCCATAATATCTTTCCGCGGCGGCAGCGGCTCTCGGGCAGTACGTCCATCCAACTGCCTCTCTGGAGACCCTTCGTTTTTTGGCTCAAAATTCGTGCCACCCGCAGAAGGGTAGCACTACATCGGAGCTGGCACTAACAAAGACGGCACTATATCGCGACTCCCCTGTACGTCGTACGTGGTGCACTGTAAATTCACTGTAAATTCACTGTAAAGATGGACGGGTGATGCATGGATGGCCACGTCTACACTGCCGCACGCGGACAGCTATCTCGTGCATGGAAGTTGAGGGAAGATGAGGAGAATTTGAGGAGAATTTGAGGAGAATGAATTTGTTTACGCTGTACATACAGCACTGTTACGAAGCATTTCGTTGCCAGGTGGGCACGCGTACCGTACCACGGAGCGGAGCAGGCGGGAGAGATGGGCAAGCGAAAGGCGGGAAGGATCGCGGCGCCAGCTACAGTACCGAAAGGGCGACGGGAAAGCATAGGCCGCACGGGGGAAGACCGCGAAGGTCGCGGGCCGTGGAAGCAAAGGGAACACGGTACGAGGAGGTTGCCCCGAGTGGGGCAAGGGGGAGCTGTATCGAAGGGGAAAATAAGCGAGGGGAGGTTTGGAGAAAGCCAACCCGGAAGATGAGAAAGGGAGGCAGCAGGCTTTGTGAGAGGAAGAGTTAAAGGAACGCGTGGATTCCAGTCTTTACAGGTCGCCGGGCACTGTACTCGACGAGTGTAAATTTACATAATAATTCCTACCCCCCGGAGGTGAGATGGCCTGGGAATCGAGCCCTTCGCAAAAGCGGAGGTGAGCAGCCGCATTTGCGGGGGGCGAGGGGGGGGGGGAACGCACCTTCTCAGTTCATCCGCGGCGAACCACATTCGTCCCGCACACGGTCCACCCGCGCCGAGCCGCGCTCGTCCCGCACGCACGCTCCCCCACGCCGCGCCGCGCGCGGTAGCCGCGCCGCCAGTGCCCACCCACGCATGCCCGCGACCGAAGCGCGCGTCGAGCGCTCGCCGCGGCACAGTGTACACAATAGCGCGCGCGCGC